CGCTATATCGCCGCCAACCTTAATTTTGTGTTCGATTATGTTGAGTCTCTATTGTCTTTTTTGCGAAAATTCTTAATACTATCTCGGTTTTAAATAGTGTGTTAGCTCGATATAGTTCTTAACATTTATTTATATTTACGGAGGGGAATTAGCTTTTAAGCGGTTATTTGACTATTTCAAGTGTGCCGACTGACCTAGAAAATCTGGGTATTTTATGATTTTATGATTATATTCCTATATAGGAAGAATGGTTCCGTCCCCGTCCCACCAGGCCCAGCCGCACCTTGGCGGCCGCCATGGCGGCCCGTGCGGCGGTGGCGGCGGCGCGGCTGGCTCGGTCGCTGCTGGTTCCGGGGCCTCTCGGCGGCGACTCGTAGCTCTTTCACTCCGCGTCTGGCGCCGGCGCCTCCCGCCCGCCCGCTCTTCCCTCCGCCCAGCGACCCGAACCCTGACCCCTGACCCCGGAGGCGGGAAACGCGCCGCGATTCAAAACCAGTGCAGCTTTATTGGCTCAGGCGACGGACATTATCATTGTCCGGCCCGCCCCGTGCTTCCCGCCAAAACGCCCGCGGCGCATGCCCGGCCCTCCCGGCAGCCCAGAGAGCGTGCGCTCCCGACGGCCCTCGCGCGCACTTCCGCCCCTCGGCCGCGCGTGGTCTTGGGGCTCAAGAAAGCAAGAGCCAGACGCTGGAGTCGGTGCCGGCGCGCGGCGATGACGTAGCCGGAAGCCAGGATGATGCGGGCGCACCGCCTAGCCTGCATGCGCTAGCCCACTGGACAGCGGCCGGTGGGGCGAGCCACTGGCGCGAGCCCCTGGCCGGCGGGCGGTGCACCCCATTCCCGAGACCCGGACCTGAGCACCGAGGGTTCGAGTCCCGCCCTCGGGTCGGAGCCGGGAGGCGGCCTCAGGGAGCCAAACCCGCGCTCTGAGAGCTTCCCGTGCCTCGGGCCCAGGGTGAGGCGGTGGATCCAGGCAGCAGGACCGACCGGACGATGAGTGACAAGCTCGACAACGAAGCAAAGTGAAGGGCGATCCCGGCTAGAGACGCGGGGCGGCGATGGCGGACTTCATGAAAGGAGATGGAGATGGGGGCGCGGTGGGAAGCCACTGGGGATGGGGGTGTGAGATGGGAGAGAAGGGATCGGAGGGTGTGGATGATACAAAGGGTGGAGCTGGGTGTGGGAAGCACTAAGTGGAGGTCTAGATGTGAGGCGATGAATCCTGGACGTCAGCACCCAGAGTCCACCCCTCATCCCAGCCCCTGCCTGTCTCCACACAGGGCCCTGGGCCAATGGATGGCTGCGGGCCAGGACAGCAGCAGTGCCCTGGGCACCTCTGCAGCCCCAGTCCCCGACGAGAAGGAGGAGGAAGAAGGAGGAGCTGGGACAGCTGCCAAGTCAGACCCGCAGCCAGGGCTCTACGGCTACATCAGGGACGACCTGTTCACTTCAGAGATCTTCAAATTGGAGCTGCAGAACGTGCCACGCCACGCCAGCTTCAGTGATGTCCGACGCTTTCTGGGCCGCTTTGGCCTGCAGCCCCATAAGACCAAACTCTTCGGCCAACCTCCTTGCGCTTTTGTGACATTCCGCTGCGCAGCTGAGCGGGACAAGGCCTTGCGTGTACTGCACGGTGCCCTCTGGAAGGGCCGCCCTCTCAGCGTGCGCCTGGCCAGGCCCAAGGCCGATCCCATGGCCAGGAAGAGGCAGCGTGAGGAGGAGGGTGAGCCTCCAGCCACGTGCGTGGCTGATGTAGTGACCCCTCTTTGGACGGTGCCCTATGATGAGCAGCTTGACCGGAAGCGGCTGGAGTGTGAACAGGTGCTGCAGAAGCTTGCCAAGTGAGTGTGAACGCAGTCACCCCCTCGACACGGGAGCTCTGTTCAGCTCCATGCTTGGTCAGACCTACCTGTGCTCTGTACAGACCTCCTGGGCATCTGCACAGACTCTCGGGGAGCTAGCCAGTAAGACCCCTGTGCTACCAGTGGGGCTAATGAGGTACAAAGTGAGGGTCCTAGGCACCTAGGCGTTTGGAGAGTCGTTGGAGATGGTTTGGGGGCAGCGGGCTGAGTCTAACCCTGGTCCCCCCTCACTCTGCAGGGAAATTGGGAACACCAACCGTGCCCTGCTGCCCTGGCTGATCTCGCAGAGGCACAAGCACAACAAAGCCTGCTGCCCCCTGGAGGGGGTCCGGCCATCACCCCAGCAGGTGGAGCCCACAAACCTTTACCCCACGCTCCTAAAGAAAACCGTCCTCACCCATCCCTTGCTTTGCATTTACTGCTCATGTTGGTCACTAGCCTGCTAGCTGTTGTCGGCCTTGTCCCCTGGATTGCCACACCCGATGGGGGAGCGGGGGCTTCTCACACATTGCCCTCTCCCACTCCCTGTGGTTCCCTCCGTGAACAAGTAAGTGGTGGGCTGCCAGGTTAAGGTCAGCTGTGTCTCTGCCTCCCTCTGCTCACCCTGCAGACCGAGTATCGGAACAAGTGTGAGTTTCTGGTGGGCATCGGAGTGGACGGAGAGGACAACACTGTGGGCTGCCGGCTAGGAAAGTACAAGGGCGGGACCTGTGCTGTGGCGGCCCCCTTTGACACTGTGCACATCCCCGAGGCCACCAAGCAGGTGGTGAAGGCCTTTCAAGAGTTTATCCGGTGAGGACTTGCAGCTGGGAGGAGGTTCCGGAATATTCGGACTTAGAGCAGAGAGCCGGAGTCCTGCTGGGGAAAGGTGGGGGTGAGAGTCCTGATTGTGGTGGCCTGGTGGGTGTGGCTAAAGGAGAACAGGAATGTTTCTTGTCCAGTTCTGGTCAGATGTTGGGGACTCAGGGCTGCTTATGGCTCCTACAGGTCTACTCCGTACTCGGCATACGACCCAGAGACATACTCAGGCCACTGGAAGCAGCTGACTGTGCGCACCAGCCGCCGTGGCCAAGCCATGGCCATTGCCTACTTCCATCCTCAGGTCTCAGGCTGGGTGGCCCTGCTGGGTGAAGGTGTCCCAGCCAGCGTGGGTTGCATGCAGCACAGCCTCACAGGGCCTTTTCCACTGTCTCCCCCAGAAACTGAGCCCTGAGGAGCTGGCAGGGCTGAAGGCCTCCTTAGCGCAGCACTTCACAGCGGGACCAGGCAAGGCCAGCGGGGTGACCTGCCTCTACTTCGTGAAGGAGGGACAGCGGTGAGGAGCCTGGATGGGAGGGTGGGGTGAATCCTTTCGAGGGCTAGCAACATTGACTGGCCTCACCACCCACAGAAAGACTCCCAGCCAAGAGGGCCTGCCCCTGGAGCACATAGCCGGGGACCAGTACATCCACGAAGATCTGCTGGGCTTGACCTTCCAGATTTCCCCTCATGCCTTCTTCCAGGTAGCTGAGTGCCCTGGGGATCATAAAGACACACGGAGGGAGGCCCAGTGTGATACCAGGACATAGTTGGGATAGTGGGCTAGGGTAGGTGACAAGTGTTAGCCTGCACAAGTTTGGGGGAGAGCGTTCAGGCAGGGGAGCCATAAGTGCTGTGAGGCAGTAAATTTCACTAACTAGACCTTTGTGCTATAACCCTGCTGGAGAGCCACATGTGGGGAGTGGGAGCTGGGTGGTGCCAGGGCTCTGGTGTGAAGTCTGTGCCTGATGCTGATGGGGGAGGGTCCCACACATCCATCACTCAGAAGTCCTTAAGTTAGGGATGTGGGGGGTCAGCATCAAGTTACTTTTAAAGTCAGGGCCCTGAGTGAGGTTGCCCAACATCTTGTAGATGGAAGAGCAGTTGGACCACTAGCCCTGGGGTGCTTCAGCAATTAGAGGTGGGGATGGGGTGGGATCAGACCTAGAGAAAAGATGAGTGAGCCAGGGACTGGCCACAGGTCTTTGAGGGGGAGTTCCCCGGGGAATGCAGGCACTTGGTGGGGCGCTGCAGGGGGAGGCAACTTTGGGCAGTGGGCTGCTTTGACATCCTGGGTCGTGCTGGCCCACCTCCAGGTGAACACCCCAGCTGCTGAGGTGCTCTACACAGTCATCCAGGACTGGGCCCAGCTGGATACGGAGAGCACAGTGCTGGACGTGTGCTGTGGCACTGGCACCATCGGCCTGGCCCTGGCCCGGGTGAGCCCTCCCACCCACCTCAGCTGAGGATGCCCTCTCCTCACCCAACCCTCCTGCTATCACCACTTTGTGACCCCCTAGCCTGTCCCAGATCCTCTTCAACTCCCCACAATGTCTCCTGCTACTCTCCACCCCAGGCCCCTGGGGAGGTGCAAGGCACCATCAGCCTCCCCTTGATTCAGAAGGTGAAGAGAGTTGTGGGGATTGAGCTGTGCCAGGAAGCTGTGGAGGATGCCCGGGTGAATGCCAACAACAATGGTGAGAGCCAGTGTACCACAGTGGGCAGTCCCCACTGCTATACACCGTAACACCACACCTACAATCCATTACATGGCTTCTAGGGAGTGGGGGGTGTGGGGACACATGACAGAAACTGCAGAAGGCACAACAGGGCCCCTAGTGTGCACCCACCCACAAAGCCTGGGGCTGCCTGATAGGGAAGGAGGGTGAGCAAGCTCCCTGGCCAGTGAGTTTTCCTATGGCACCTCTGGTCAGGGGCTTCAGGACACCACAGCGGGCAGCTCAGCGGGCCCTGTGTGGCAGAGCATCCTGGATCCCAACAGGCTTGCTGTACCATCTGCAGAGTTGAGCAATGTCGAGTTCCACTGTGGGAGGGCCGAGGACCTGGTACCTGCTCTGGTGAGCAAACTGGCCTCCCAGAAGCTTGTTGCCATCCTGGACCCACCCCGCGCCGGCCTGCGTGAGTAGCCTCCATTTGTGGGTGGTACAGGGAATGGAGGGCAGTGACGTCTGGGTGGACCACCAGGCTGTGCAGCGTCAGGCCTGATGTCCACATCCATTGGGCTACCCCTCCTTTGAGGTGGGAACCTCCCCTTAAGGAGTCTGTCTCCTCAGATTCCAAAGTGATCCTGGCCATCCGCAGAGCTGAGAACCTCAAGCGGCTCCTGTACGTCTCCTGCAACCCCCGGGCGGCCATGGGCAACTTTGTAGAGTGAGTTTAAGGTGGGGGCTTGGGGTGGAATAGGGCCAGCACCCAGCCCCCCGCCTCCCACAGGAGCCCAGCCATGTGACTGACCTGGACTATTCCCTTCCCACCATAGCCTCTGCAGAGCCCCATCTAATCGGGTGAAGGGCACCCCCTTCCGGCCAGTCAAAGCTGTGGCTGTGGACCTGTTCCCGCAGACCCCACATTGCGAGATGCTCATCTTGTTCGAGAGAGTGGAGCACCCCAATGGCACAGAGACCCTGGAGCCCCAGGACCCACCAGCTCAGCACTCACCTGGGCCCCCAGATGACACCCAGCAGGAATCTGGGTCCTCCCCTCCTTCCTAGGCCCCAGAGCAGTGGAAACCAGCCTTTCCAGAACACGTCTAGTCGGCATCATGGGCAGAAACCAAGTGGCTCCTCAAATCCTTGCCTCACCCCAAAACACTGAGGCAGTACTACCAACAGGACATAAGACCCAGCTGTCCTGCCTAGGGCCTTTCCGTTACTGTGGGTTATAGACTCTTGCACCCTGCACACAGGTACACACACACTCATTCTTTTTGTACCACAAGGGCCAGAATAAACAACTGCTAAACTACTGATGTTTCCGTGATGAGAAACCAAGGCCAAGTGTGTGTGTAGGGGGGAGTGGAGGTGTACAACACAGGGCAAGGGGCTGGCCTTGCCCGTCTAGCCCCCACTTTCCCTGCACCAAAGGGAGGACCCTCAATTTTGTTCCACCCCTAACTGAACCCTGAAGGAAGCTGGGCTGGGATGCTGTTTGGCTACTATGGGGAGCAGCTGTGTCCAGGCAAATGCCCTAGGCTCACTGGGGTTTGCTCCAGAGAGGTTCTGGCAAACTGAGGGTCCACAAGACCCCCTAGTCTTCCACAGCTAGAAAAAAACACCAGTCAGAACCTTTTGGACAGGTTTGTTTTATGTGTCCAAACAATCAAGGCTCACTGTTACAGCCATGGCCCAGCCACCATCTGGGACATACATGATGCACAGAGGTGGCATCAGATCAGCAGAGGCTCTCCTTGCCCTCTACCCCCACAGCACAGCTGTGTGCACACAACACGCACACCACACATGGGACAGGAAGGATATGGTGGGGCCACAGAGGCTCACCCACTTCTAGTAACACGTGCACAAAGCTTTGGTTCATAATGGCGCATCTGGCTGTTTTAAGGGCAAACCGTCAGTCAATTATTCATTGCTGCAGACAGGAAGCAAGACAGAAGCAAGTGTATAATTACAGCAATTTGATTGACGACTCTGTTTTATAAAGGTCAACACAGAAGCTAACCTTGGTCACATGGGTGCTGAGGGAGGGATACACTGGGTGGCCTACAAGGCCAACATTGTCTTCCCGGAAGCAGACACCACCAATTGTCTTCCTGGAAACAAAACACCATCCGCAGGGGATGTGGTGGACAGGCACACCCAAAGAACATAACAATGCAACCCAGCGCTGGGCTCCTGTATCTGGCAGTGCACCATGAGCATGTGGCACCCTGAAGAGGTGCTGGGAACAGGAAACCAATGGCTAACCACCACTACTTTACATGTGGGGACAACCAAGGGCCCCCACACCCCCTGGGACTCAGAGCAGGGTCACATCTAACCCTGCACCCGTCCACAGGGGCCACCTGGAGAGCACAGGCTGCTGGTCAGAGGAGTGAGCTGGTTACCAGACCTGGCTGCACAGGGCGGCTGCCTTTGAAATCCAGTGAAGCCACCATCCATGTGCTTGCACCAAATCTGGAGAGGAGTGCCAGTTTGTGATCAAGGATGGATTGCACTACGGGTCCTTGTTCCCTCTTCTTAAATAAACCCACGTGCTAAAATTCATTAATTGTTTATATCTGCTACATGATTCCAAATCTATCTTCTACACACTGTAAAAGTTTCTTTCCAAATGCTAAAATATCATAAAAGCTTTAAAAACTGAAGAGTGGATAGAGAGATTTGACTGTGCAAAAATCTTTAGTAAAAAGTTGCTAAAGGCCAGTGAAGGGTAACCAGCCTAGGTGTGTTTTTAGGGCTTTAAGACTTACTCAGAAGGCCCTGGCCGGGTGGATAGCTCAGTTTCTCAGAGCATCATCCTGATATGATATGCCAAGTTTGCGGGTTTGATCCCTGGTCAGGGCACATACATGAATCAACCAATAAATGCATAAATAAGTGGAACAACAAATTGATTGCTTTTCTCTCTCTCTCTCTCAAATCAATTAAAAAAACTTTAATTTTTTAAAAAGACTTGGAAAAATGGATCACAACCCAGCTCAGGGCTTGGGGAACAAGCCAGGCAGAAACACACTGGCTGAAAAATAATCAGCTTGATTTGCCTGCAATCTCTGAAAAATAGTTCTGATGCTAAAATTGTGTTTGTTTTAAACCTAAAAGGTCTGAAATACTCATTCCTGTTATAACATTTCCAGGAAAAAAGGGGAAAACACAGGAGGCAGGAAAGGGGATGGTGTGCCAGGATGCGCCTTCTGACCAGGTTCCTGCAGGAGCCCTAGACACAGGGCGCGATAGCACTTGGCCATCACGTCTCATTTCATCTGTGATCCAACTATCATTTCTTGTCAGTGCATGTTACATACTAAAATTCATGAAAATCTTCATAAAACCAGTCTGCAGCAAATCCGTAAAAGCATAGGTCATCTCCAAGCTCAGCTTCCACCTGCACGGGCAGGCTGAGCTGATGCTTGAACATGTCCACTCAGACCTGTGGGTGGCCCACAAGGAAATGGTATAGTAGAATGTGGCCCTGGCTGTCCCCATACACTGGAGCCCCACCCCTCTGGCCCCAGCCTCAGACATGTGGCTGCAGGGGAGGAACTTAGATTGGAGATGAGAGGCTGCAGAGTGAGCGGTGCATGGTCTCCTGGCACAGAGCTGGCAGCCTCCATGCCCGGTTCACCACCTCCTCACACGTCCACAGTGCACAGGGGCTCGCCACCAGGCTGAGCAGATGCCACAATAGACATCTTGGGCTTCTTCCGCGTCTCCTCCTAGAAAAACAATGAAGGTCAGGGATGCCAGTGAGGTGGGAACATGTTGCAGCCCAGCTTCAGGCAAGAGGCTCCAGAGGGAGATGGGTGGTTGGGGGGTGAGCCCAGCAGACTGGTGCCAGGCAGCCTCTGGAGTAGGAGGGCACCCGTGCTTTGCAATTTCAGGCTGGAAAGAATAAAGGCCTGAGGAGTGGGCCGGGCAGGACCCTGGATGGGAGGATAACCCTGGACACCATCAGAGTACATGATTCCCTGGGTATCAGGACAGTCAATAATGAAGAGCCAAGGAGGTTACAGCCACCAGGGATACGCCCCTAGTGGGTCTCTCTCCTCACCCCTACCTGAGGGCAGCAGCGAGGCATCCCCTGGACCCAAAAGGTCCACAAAGACAACAGACACCTACTTCAGGGTTTATACAGGCCCAGGCTGATACCACAGCTGAAAAGATCTGAGCCCAGAGGCTCCCTGAATGGGTGGTTTTAGAAAAGGCATGGGGACTGAGCCCTACCTGCATTCAACTGTTCTGTGAACCACACTCCTTCCTCAGAACTGCTGAGGACTCTAAGAGGAAGAGGTCCAGGATGGCAGTCTGTCACCCACAAGGACCCTGAGTGTGTGTGTGTGTTGGGGGGGGGGGGGGGGAGCGCGGCAAAAGGCTAGCCAGTGCACTCTCCCTGCCCTCAAACAGCCCGCACCAAAAGTCAGTGCATAAAAGGCTGGGCCTTTCACAAGCACTATCAAACTAGAGCTGCCAGCTCTCTAATTTAATTATATAAAATAGAGACTCAGCATAAGAATCATGAATGCTGAAGCTCAAGGAAAAGCAAATCTAATCTGGATGGCTTTTCAGGTGCCTGGGCACTGCCAGGGTATCAGAAGCCAGTGACGGGTTACTATGGGACAGCTTCTCCTCCCGCCCCCCAGCTGCCATAGTGTGACACAGCTTGGTACCCTCCCATGGCCTGTGCTCACCCTCTCCTCGGCCAGCCTCTTCATCTCCTCCTGCAGCTTGCTTAGGATGTGCAGGTTCGGCTTGTTCTTCTTGGCATACTGCTGCAGCTCAATCACACTCTTGTCTGAGGTCTCCTAAGGAGCACAGTGCCTCCATCTCAGGTCTGCCCTGGACCCCACACCAGCTGCCCCACCCTCAACCTGTGCAGAGAACATTATGCTGCCCCCACTGCCCCATCCTCAGTGGACAAAAAGCCACAACCTGCTCTGGGACAAAAGCACCCAGGTACCCAGCTGTTTCCAGCCCTATCCAGACCCAAGGAAGCTAGCCACTGCCTTACATACAGCAGTCAGCCAGGCTTGCTGTGCCCAGAGCCCTCTGACTAAAGTGGTACCTAGGCTGGGAGGCCATCAGCCCCAGCCACTGAGCCCTCTCTGCATGCTCTAGACCAGGGGTGGGCAAACTTTTTGACTCGAGGGCCACAATGGGTTCTTAAACTGGACCGGAGGGCCGGAACAAAAGCATGGATGGAGTGTTTGTGTGAACTAATATAAATTCAAAGTAAACATCATTACATAAAAGGGTACGGTCTTTTTTTTTTTAGTTTTATTCATTTCAAACGGGCCGGATCCGGCCCGCGGGCCGTAGTTTGCCCATGGCTGCTCTAGACTCTCAGTGCAAGATCCAACTGTCCTAAGGCCCTCCATCTCTCAGGACAACTACTGTATCTGGGGTGCCAGACCCCACCTGTCTTCCAAAAGCCGCATGCTGGGCTGTTCCTAGGCTTGACCCCTCGCCCTCCAGCTTAGGAAAGGTTCCCACCCATGGGCCAAAGTGGGCTTTCTCTCCTTCAACCTTAGCCCGAGAAGATACACAGAAGGCAAGCATATATAAAAGGCAAGGTAAGTTTCATGTGCATTGCATCCAAGTTTTCTCAAAAACACATATCCTGAGGTTCCTCTAAGGAAGTTGGGCACCTGTCACTTCCTTCATCCCCCCTATCATGCCCAGAGCAAGAGCATCTTCAGGGATGGTCTGAGGGTCTACCATGTGATCTCTGGAGTCACCACCTGTAGTTCCCCAACTCTACACTGACCATCCCTCTACTTACTGGGGCGCTGATAACCCAGAGCATTTCTATAAACATCAGGGAGAAAATTGAAAATGTAAACACTCACCTCCTAGTACTTCCCTCCACCCAACAAAGCATCTGTCATCCAACTATCTGCGATCTACCTAAAGGTATTGGTTTAAATCTCAAGATCTTGGCAAAAGTAGCAGAAACAAAACAAATGACACACAGGCTGTTGAATTAATTAAAGCTCAGTAACTGTGTTCATAGCCAAGAGAGCTGCCCTTGCATGCTCACTCTCCCTCAGCCACTGTGTGGCCTCAAAATAGCATAAGGCCTCCCATCATTGGACTAAGGTCTTGGGGCTGGCAGCACTCACCATCTGCACTTCTGCTGCTCCAGTCCCCTCCCCACACTGCCAGAGCCAGGCCCAGGCCCCTTGGGCAGGATGACCCCACCCCAACAAAGTCAAAGAAATAGCCCAGCAGAGAACCCAAGAAAGGTGGCCATGAACAAGAGCAGAGCTGCTTGACTCTATCCCTGTGACAGTGGGACCCCAAGCATGTACTCCAAGGTTGGGAGGAAAGTCCCGTTACCTGTTTGACCATCTTGCTGCTTTCACGGCCATACATGCGTAGTAAAGACCCCCAGTTCTTGACATGTGGGTGCAGGAGCTGAAGGATTTTCTGAGAGGCTAACTGCTTCCCAACTCTCTTATTTTTACCTGTGAAGAGGGGAAGGATACACAGAGAGGGAGTCACAAACATCCAGCTATCCAAAACAGTCATCTTGCCTAAAAAGGAGCTCATCTGCCCCCCACCCCCACCCCCTTGAGCTGAGGGCACATTCTACAGGAAGCAGGTGAGAAGTGCTCCACCACCAAGCTGAGCACAAACACCTTAAAAATTCCAGACCAGGACCCACCCCTATCTCACTTCACAGAACAGCCCATCAGAGGCTCTAGAAGGTCAGGACATGATCAAGTCACACAGCTTAACGGCCCTTCCTCCCACCACAACCCCATATTCCCAGACACTGTCAAGCAGCAATGAGGTGTCATGAAGCATGTGGCCTCAGGTTCCTTGGAGGAGGCACAGGAGGAGGGTTTTCCCAGAAGGCCCAGGCCAGCCACACTTTCAGACAGGGCTTCCCACGTGGAGGAGAGAATCCTGGCACCAGGATCCCTCTTCTATTTCAAGCTCCGCCCACCTGCTTAGGAGCACTTCTCAGTGGGACTGGTGTCTGCTGGAGTGCGAGGCACACCAGGTCTCAACGTGGTTCTGAATTTTCCCAGGGTCAACTTGTGCACTACCTTCTAACTTATACAGCATTGGTTTTGTGTATATAGTAGTAACAAAAATTTTTCTTTTAAAATAAAGTTATATTTTAAAAGGCAGTCATTTCAAAACTCACATTAGGTAAAGAGCACAGGTAGTGCACAGAGACCAGAAGGCAGAGGGGCAGCACAGGAATGCAGAACATAGCGGGGTGGAGAGTCTGCTGCTGTTTGAGCAGCATCAACCACAGGGACCAAGAACTGTTGGGGGCAGAGATGGCAGGAGGGGCACACATGGCCTAACCAGAATGAGCAGTCCTAGCCCGGGAGAGAGAAGACAGAGACAGCACAGACAGGACTACCAGTCGAGCCTCAGGCTGACTGTGTTTCAGATGTTGGTGAGATGCTGGTGGACAAAACTGTAGGCGGCCAGTGCACACAGCTGGAGCTCAGGAGCAACAGTAGGGCAGTGACTGGGAACCAAGGCAAAGGGGCTCAAAACTCCCAGAGAGACCCAGGATGGGGTGGCAGCAAGGCAACATCCCCCAGCGGTCATCTGCCAGCACGTTGGGGGGCAAGGAGGAGGAGATGGGGTCCTTACACCAGCCGCGCACTGTGTGCTTGCCGCACGCCATGACATATTCACTCTTCTGGTTTTTACCAGGAACCACTTCAAACTTGATGGATGTGTCACCCATTCCATGGTTTCTAAGAAAAAACAAAGACAACAGGTGGCATCAGCTGAGAAGGAGGAAACAGCTACTTCCAGAAAGTTAAGGGCTCTCTCAAGACAATGCCAACCCTTTCCCCAAAACTGCTTCTCAGCTGGAGGGTGAGGTTCTCCAGGTACACCCAACCTGATCCCATGGGGCTCTCTGACGGACCGCCAGGGAACACTTGCAATGGCTCTCGGGCTTTAGCATTGCCTCTTGAGTCAGGATCAACAGCCAGTAAGGATGTTGGGCACCCAGATAGAAGCCCCCGACCAGACTTAGGACGGGAAGCTCCCACCCTACCTTTTAAGGCACTCGTGGAGGATCTGATAGGGAGACAACAGTCCGGCCTTGCTGGTCAACTCGTAGACCCGCGAGTCCTCGATACTGATGTGGTTAAAATACTACAAAACAAAGCAGCCACTCCTAAGTACTGGCCTTGCAGAGCTGCTCCCCATGCTGTCTGCTTCCCCCAGAGGCTTACTGTCCTCCTTACTGCCTCATAGAGCACCTCACACCCCCCACTTCACTGTCCAGCTGGCCCTCTGGAGACAAGGATGAGTAGCTGCACTACACCAGGCTAGAGAGAGGGCATGGGTGGGGTGGGAGACCCTGGTGCAGTGAGGACCTGGGCTGCATAGCTAGCCAGCCCGGATAGCCTTTTCTGAACCTGAATCTTCAGACTTCACATAATTAGTCTGAAATCTAAGGATAAATAACCTTTGGAGAAAAACTTGAACATCATCATAAGTGAGATAACAGAAAAGAGAAAGTAAGCAAAGCAAAAGCTGCACTCTAATTCTCCCCAAAGGCTACAAAGTGCCTGGTCGGGCTCTAGTCTTAAACACAATGTTGTCCTGGATTTGAAAGTGATCACTGCGACCAAAGAATAGAAAGGTTAACAAGAAACCACTTCACCAGTCAGGGAAATTCTGCACAACAGAGACAGGAGCTGCCCCCTGGTGAATGGATGCCACTCAGGAGCAAGGTTCACCTCCCCAGGAGGGGCTGTATTAGTCTCCTGGGGCTGCCATAACAAAGTACCACAAACTGGGTGGCTTAAAACAACAGAAATTAATTTTCTCTCACTTCTGGAGGCCAGAAGTCAAGGTGTCAGCAGGGTCCTGCTCCTTCTGAAGCCTCCCAAGGAAGAGCCTTCCTTGACTTTTCCAACTTCTGGTGGCTTGTGGAAGCCTAACTCCCATCTCCACGTGGCGTTCTCTCCATCTCCCTCCCCTCTGCTCTGAGCAGGGAGGTGGGGTTCCTCTACCTCCATCTGCTTCAGTGAGGAGACAGGCTCACTATGACTGAGTGGAGGAAAGGAAGGCACTGTTTCTGAAGAGTATTGTTGATTCTGTGAACAGGAAATCCTCTTGCTATCACCTGGCTATTTGTTTTCTCACAGGTCCCCACAAGGTGCCTCCATCTCAAGCGCCCATATCACTGTGGATCAGTTTCCAGGAAAAGTTACTTATCAAGATGTAAGGCTCTGGGCCCATCCTTAATGGCTGGCCAGGCAGCCAACACACCAGCACTGTCTGGTTTTTTCATTCAGCCTGTGAGGACTAACTTTCTAACCAGTAGTCAGCACCTGGGCTGTGGGCCTGTAATGAGGTTAAGCAGGTGGATAACCTATGAACCCTACAGCTCCAGGTTCCTCCCTGACAGAGCTAAAGCCAACACACACACATGCCCACACTCAGAAGCCCCCAAATACCCAACAGCCTCTGCCAAAGGTCAACACCACAATTACCAAGTAGCCATGGCCACATGTTACTGATGGTTAACCTGCCAGGGGCGTGTAGGTACTCCAACTCTAGAGCAAAGGCAAAGGGCAGAAGTGACCCACCGAGAACAGCAAGAGCCCAGGTGACTGGCCCAACAGACAGTGAAGAAACATGAGAACCCAAGACCCATAAATTTAAAAATTTAGATAAAACAGACCAATCCCTAAAAAATGCAAACTACCTGCATTGCCCTATTCCAGTGATTTTCAACCTTTTTCATCTCATGGAATACGTAAACTAATGACTAAAATTCTGCGGCACTACAAAAGTATATTTTTTGCCTAATTAAAAAAAAAAGTATGATTTTAATTCATTCACGCTAGAGGGTTATTGTGTGGCTGTTGTCATTTTTTTATTTGACAATCTAAGGGAAAAGAAGTCAGTGCCCCTGACTAGTCAGGTACTGCATGTTTTAAAAATTCTTGCAGCATACTGTTTGAAAATTGCTGCCCAAAAAAAAAAAAGGAAGAAAGAAAGAAAAGAAAATTGCTGCCCTATTCTATTCCAGAAATTGAATTTGTAGCTAAAAACTTTTCCTTGAAGAAAACTCCAGGTGCAGATGGCTTCATTAGTGATGACTACCAAACATTTAAGAGGAAGAAATGACACTGATTCTATAGAGATTCTTTCAAAAAATCTGAAGAGGAGGGAACAATTGCCAACTCACTTTATGATGCTGAGCAGTAGTACCCTGATATTAACACCAGACCATGGATGTACAAGAAAATAACAAACTAAAATCCCTCACAAACCAGGTATAAAAATCCTAAACAGTATTGGCAAATTGAAACCATTAACATAAAAAAATTTCTATCACACCCAAGTAGAACTTATCATAGGAATGCATTTTTAAATTTTAATTCTCACCCATGGACACGCTTTTTCCTTTGATTCTAGAGAGAGAAGAAGAGGAGAACAACAATCGACTGCCTCCCACATGCATCCCAACCAAGATCGAACCCGAACCCTGGATATGTGACCTGACGGGGACTCAAACCTGCAGCCCCTTGGTGCATGGGACAATGCTCCAACCAACTGAGCAACACCAGCCAGGGCCCAGAAATGCATTTTTAAAAAATCAATCAACATAATTCACTATACTAGTATTAACAAAGAAGAACCTTATGATAGTGTTAACAGATACAGAAAGGGCATTTGACAAAAATCCAACACCCTTTCATGATAAAAGCACTCAATAAAGAAGAAATAGAAGAGACCTTCCTTGATCTGATGAAATGACCTGACAGCTAACATCATACTCACTGGCAAGAGGCTAGATGCTTCCCCCTAATATTAGGTACACGACAAGGATGTCCACCCTCCCTACTGCTACTCAGCACTGTACTCAAGATTATAGCCAAAATAATAAGGCAAGAAAAAGAAATACCAATGAATTACAAAACCTACATCAAATTGAAAAATTTCCAGAAAGATACAATATCCCAAAACTAGCTCAAGAAGGAATAAAAAATCTGAATAGATGTATAACAAGTAAAAAGATTGAACTAAATAACTTCAAAGAAAAGTCTAGGCCCCAGTGGTTTCACAGGTGAATTCTATCAAATGTTTAAAAAATTAATACCAGTCCTTCACAAACTATTCCACAAATGGAAGAGGAACACTTTCCAACTCATTCTTTGAGGCCAGTATTACCCCACACCAATACTAGACAAAAACATACAAGAAAACTACAGATCAGTATCCCTTCTAAATAAATATAGCTACAAAAAGTCAATAAAATACTAGCAGCCAAATCCAGCAATACATAAAAATAATTATAAATTGCCCTGGCTGGTGTTGCTCACTGGTTAGAGTGTTGATCAGTGTAACAAAGGGTCATGGGTTCAATTTCCCATCAAGAGCACGTACCTGGTTGCAAGTTCGTTCCCGGCCCTAGTTGGAGTGTTAATGTGTCCCTCTCACATTGATGTTTCTCTCCCTCCACCTCCCTTGTCCCCACTTCCCTTCTAATCGCTCTAAAAAAATAAAAATAAATCATTGGAAAAAATATCCTCAGGTGAGGATTAACAACAACTAAAGAAAAAACAACAACAACAACAAAAGATACATCATGACCAGTGGGATTTATCCCAGGAATGCAAAGTTAGCTTAACATTCAAAATCAGCCCAGCTGGAGTGGCTCAGTTGGATGAGCATTGTCCTGTGCAACAAAAGGTTGCCGGTTTAATCCCCTGTTGGGGCATGTATGGATGTTTAAAAATAAATAACAAATTATCACAGCTTAAAAAAAAACATTCAAAAATCAATGTAATATATCACCATATTAGTAAAGTAAAAGACAAAACACACACAATCATCTTATTAGATACAGAAAAACTATCTGAGAAAATCCAACATCTATTCCTGGCAAAAACTCTTAGCAAACCAGGAGTAGAAGTAAACATTCTCAATCTAATAAGATCCACAAATAACACAGCATGTTAAGTGAAAGAAGCCAGTCACAAAGGACCGCATATGTGATTTCATTCCTATGAAATGTCCAGAACTGGCAAATCCAGAGATAGCAACTGGCAAATCCAGAGACAGCAAGTACATTAGTGGCTTCTAATTAGTGTTGAGGGCTAGGGAATGGGGAGAATTGGGAATTATTGCTAAAAATTTTTAAGGTTAGATTGTTGTGATGATTATATACAAATAGCCACTGAACTGTAGTTTAAAAGGATAAAATTTGCCAAAACCAGTTTGGCTCAGTGGATAGAGCGTCGGCCTGCGGTCTGAAAGGTCGCAGGTTCGATTCTGGTCAAGGGCATGTACCTAGGTTGCAGGCACATCCCCAGCAGGAGATGTGCAGGAGGCAGCTGGTCGATGTTTCTCTCTCATCGATGTTTCTAACTCTCTATCTCTCTCCCTTCCTCTCTGTAGAAAATCAATAAAATATATTTTTAAAAAAAAAAAAAAAAAAAAAAAAAAAAAAAAAAAAGGATAAAATTCATGGCATATAAATTATATATCAATAAAGCTTTTAGTTAAAAAGACTAAAAGCTTTATTGATATATAATCTTTCAAACTCTTCAGAGTTTGAAAAGCCCTTGTTAGAAATCATAGAAACAGATTTACCCCAAAAAAGTTCACAAGTAGTTTTAAATGGTTCTTAATATAAGACTAATTTAACTTTTGTAGACCCTGCCTCAAAGGTTCATTCCCACCACAGATCTACTATAAGGAGAGAGCTGATTTACTTCCAAATACATTTATTGCTCACAAGCAACTTCCTGCTACCAATTACAAGACACAGGGGACAAAAATTACATTTCTTTCCTGTGCTTGTGCTTGTACAAAGATAAGCAAGTTTCCCCTTTTATAAAATATGAACAAACAATATCACCTTGAATGATTAAATCACTGAGCACACCCTGCACTGGCAGGGCAGGCTGAGTTGAGAATTGCAGTTCCAAACAGGGCAGTCATGACACTCACCTCAAGCTCTTCACTGTCTTTGGGTTTCTCCTCAGAAGTCTGTTTAACAAAATCAGGGATGAGGATTTCCAGCGTAGCTCGAGCTATGAGAAGAAAAATCTTGAGGATGAGGATTTAGGCCCAGCCTGCTTTCCAACTGCAGAGCAAGCTATACACTGGCTCCTCTGCAGGACCAGGGACCCTACGAATCAGGGGAGCAAGGGCCCTAGGGAGCAGCAGTACTTTTAGAGACAGAGACAGCAGAGGATGGAAAAGAGCACATCCTAAGAAAAGGAGGCAGTGACAGAGGCAATTTGGCCCTGAGGCACTTGTAGCAGTTTAGGGAGAGGAGATGTGCATGTCAGAGGATTCACGTGACATGCGGACAAATGGCTCAGCAGAACCTGGACCAAGTAGGGAGAACTGCAAACTGAGTAAGCTACATGTGTGTGGCAGGAGAAGCAGCCAGATCAGATGGATTATCTGGAAAAACAGCTGCGGGACAGAGCACAGGGATGACTCCATGCTGAGCACAGGTGTCCAAGTGAGCAAGGGTGCCACTCACCAATGGCATGGGAATGTGGGGCACTGAGGGAGGGGCGAGGGATGTGTGACAGTCTGGCCCTGTACGGTTATAGAACCAGCAAGACATCCAAGTGCAGGTGTCTAAAGAGAAGCTAGAGTCTGGGCAGAAAAAGTAGGTCCCTGCTCGTGGGGAGGAGTGCAGCAGGGTCCTGCCACCAGAATGTCTCCACCCCCATGCTGGGCCTGCTCTATGTTAACTGCTCCATGACTTCAGTAACACCCAGCCTGTTGAGCTGAAAACGTCTTTGGGGCCCGGCCAGTATAGCTCAGAGTTTGAGCATCAACACAAGAACTAAGAGGTCACCGGTTCAATTCCCAGTCAGGGCACACGCCCAGGTTGTGGGCTCAATCCCCAGTAGGGGGTGTGCAGGAAACAGCTGATTGATGATGTTCCTCTCTCATAGATGTTTCTATCTGTATATCCCTCTCCCTTCCTCTCTCTCTAAAAACCAATAAAAACATTTTTTTTTTTTAAATAAAAAGTCACCCTAGCCAGCTTGGCTCAGTGGATAGAGCGTGGGCCTGTGGACCCAAGGGTCCCAGGTTAGATTCCGGTCAAGGGCACGTACCTAGTTGCAGGCTTCTCCCCAGCCCAGGCCCTGGTCAGGGCTCGTGCAGGAGGCAACCAATCCATGTGTTTCACTGACATGGATATTTCTCTCTGTCTTCCCGTCTTTCTTCCATTCTCTCTAAAAATCAATGGAAAAAAATCCTTGGGTGAGGATTTAAAAAAAAGTCTTCTGACAGAATTTCTCAAAAATGGACAATAGGCCCTGACCGGTTTGGCTCAGTGGATAGAGCATCGGCCTGTGGACTGAAGGGTCCCAGGTTCGATTCCGATCAAGAGCATGTACCTTGGTTGCGGGCACATCCCCAGTAGGGAGTGTGCAGGAAGCAGCTGAATCTATGTTTCTCTCTCATCGATGTTTCTCTCTAGCCCTCTCCTTCTCCCTTCCTCTCTGTAAAAAAAATCAATATATGAAAAAAAAAAAAGGACAATAGGCCTTCCTAGAGAACGGGGTGCACTGGATGAGCCCAGCACAGCCGCACAGAGGAAGGACAGACAGTAATGTATTATTCCAATTGTATTCAGCATACACCATCGAAAGAAAGCAACACCGAGGGAAACGCTAAGTCCCATGAGCAAAAACACTTAAACCGACCCGAGACCTAGTGAGATTTGAACAAAACTGACATATTTCACACTCTGTGAAGGGCAGAGCCGCTCTGGAAGACAATGGGAATAATAGAAACCTCACCAATCAGCCTATGGGTACCAGAGTCTGGGGTGCACCCAACACCTACCCTGCAATGTGGTCCACTTCTAAGAAGAGGCCAAATAGCCCTGAGCTGGGGCAAATTCTTGTTGTAGTTGTTTTCCAAATTGTTGGAAAAAAATGCCAACAACTACTAGTGCTGAGCATAAAAGTGAACAGCACATACACGGTCAAAAAGAGCAATGGGTTTTAACCAGAAAACATAAGCTTTTCCCCGGATCTGCTATGTGTTCAATGAGTGGCAGTCCCAAATGTGCAGTTTGAAGGACTCAGGAAATCGTCCTCACAAATGTCAAAACCACTCAAAGAGAATGCCAATAGCATGCTGACTCACCTGTTTTTCATCTCCTAGCATGCCCACATTTTGCTCCGTTTAAATACAAACCCCCTCTACAACATGTGCCTAGTGCAGCCCAGTCAGCTCTGTGAGTAGGGAGGAAAAGGGTGGGAGATTTCAGCCTGGCTGCCAATGAGTTAAGAAGGGACTTTCTACTTTTATTTCTCAGGCTTTACTTTCTATATCTGAATCTTTCCCAATGAGCAAATAATTTTTAAAAATCAAATAGACAATTACAGAAATAAAATGGATTTTCCCCAACCACACCACTCCCACTCCTGCTGCTCAGCCCTCCCCAACCAAGAGGAGGGACAATCACAGTGGGTAGTATGGGGCTCTGACATCTAAGCAGGCACATTACCAGCTTTATTCTTCGCAAGTTTTTTGCTGCTTGCAGTTCCAGATCCATAGGTCACACCATCAATGGTCACCGAGGCGCCAAAAGGCTCACTTGGGTTCTCTTAAAATTAAAATTACTGTTTTAAAACACACTTGCCAAGACATTAGAAGCCAGTGTGCACACTCAAGCGCACACACACACACACACACACAATCTGCTCACACCAAGACTGCTGCTGGAAGACAGAGACCTGAGACTCCCTGAGGCATTGAGATGGGGCTGAGATGGTCAGCAGGCAGAGAACACACCCGGAAAATTTCAAGAAAGGGGGACCATGGGATAGTGAGCTGAAGGTCAGAGGCAGAACCACCAGGAACAGGGACCAATGTCTGTGAAAGACGGACAGAGTACAGTGAGGGGCAGGGATGCACAGATGTAGTGAGCCAAAGAAACATGAAAAGCAATGAGTAATTCCTAGGTTCTGGCTTCCAACAGGAAGAAAAATTGGTTTTCAAGGATGTGACAAGGATGGACAGGAGATAGTTGACGGGATGGGCAGGCCTCAAGTTCCTTCATCCACCTGGGGGAGCCTGGAGACAATGGGAGGCCTTCCTCAGAGCAAGGAACAAAGGAAGATGAGGGAGGGTGGAGTGTGAACAATATAAGGGGAAGCAGAGGCAGTAACCCTTAGTCTAGACACATTCCCATAAAAATGAACTGCCTATCTGCAATATCCTTTTCCTTGTCCTTCCCTTTCATTTCTATCCCAACTAACAGCCAGTTCCCATCTCCCCAGCCATGGTCAAAGTGAGGTGTGTGACTTAGTACTGAGACGAGGAAGGTCAAACTTACCACATTCAAAGAAATTATAAACCGGGCGGACCTTGAGGACACGCTGCATGTACTCGTGCAGGATGCAGACCTCAGATTTCCCGTTGGGGTTAATGACAAATTCTGTGACAAGAAGGACCATCTCAACAACAGTGTGAGGACCCCACTACAAGCTAGCACTCAGGACCTGGTACCATCCAAGTTACCAAGTCATTGAATTAGAGGCTCACTGCCATGAATGTGTCGGAATTCAGCATTCATAGGGTAAACATAAGCTTTCAATTAAAATGCAACTCACACACAAAGTATACATTTTAAGAACATCAAATGAAAAATAACAATATAACCAGTCTGCCAATGTTACAATTTATAAGCCCCACTCACCTTTCTTTGTGGGTGCATCTTGCACAGATAGAGTAATAAGCTTCTGATTGGCCGGCAGGATCCGGGTACAGGACAGAGGGGAATAAAGATCTCAACTCAAAAGGCACTGAGTCGCTCGGCCCAAGTTCTGAATTTCTTTACAGTAACTTGCTCAAAGTCAAAACGCTTCTCCAAGTAGCTCCGAAATTCCTCAAGATCTATATAAGATTTACCAGCAAGACATATTACTAATTTTCAATGTAAGTCGTTTCCTCTGTCCAGTGAATTGGACAGTGATGGGCTACCACCAGACAGGTCCCACCACACAATACCCACTGCTCTTTCCATGTTCCTTTTGAAGGGTATGGAAAGCAAAGAATGAGGTCTCTTCACTCAGCCAGCTCAAATTATTCTGAAAGGTCCTTATGAACAAACTTCTGGGATATTCTTTTAGTTAATTTGGAGTAAGAACAAGGATTTTAAAAAAAAGAAAGCTTTAAAAAAAAAATCAGATGGCCTTCAGAGTCCATCAAAACAGGTGCCTACCTGCCAGTAGCAGGCAGGGGAGCCGTGCACCCACTGCCCATCTTGCTTGCTCTCCCCTCCAGCCACCCTGGCAGCCTCCAAATTCAGTAACACCTTCTGGCAGCTTAGACCTGGATACTCATCATGCCTCTCCCCACTTGGCCCCTGGCTCAGCCCCACAGCTCATGCAGGGCCTTGCCTCAGCTGAGTACTCCACCCCCGCACCATTCAGTGAAGTGTCCTGGGGCCTCCCACTTTTACTGTTACACCTACTATCATCCCCTTCTCCCCAGGACTTCCTAGAGGTTCCCATCAGCCTCAATAGTTTCCTGCCTGCCTCCTAGCACTCAAGTGTGCCGTGGCTCATGCCCAGCCCTAAGAGCAATGCCAGCAGAAGGTGGAGAGAGGGATTCTGTGTAGGAAGATTGAGATGTACACTGAGATGTAGCTTTTTAAAACAAAAGGCTACAAAAAATATACTTGCACCTACTTAATTATAAACTGAAACTAAATACTTCTTTACATAGAATGCAGAGAAGTGAGTCTGGAAGTAAGTACCAGTGGTCACCTCTCACAGAATGAGGTTAGTGGTTTAGAAAAACAGAAATACAATCATTTACACGTGCATAAAAGATAGTACAAAAAAATAGAGCACTGTCTCAAAGGGAGAGCTCCCTTCCAGCTAGGTCCCAGAGAAAAGCCTTGACACACCCACAGAAGATAGAGGAAGCCGGCTTGCAAGAGGGAGGAAGGCAACACCAGACACACAGGTTGAGGGAAGACTGAGATCCATCCATCAGGGGAACTCGGGGACCAGTGAGACTCTGCCTTTCCCCAGATGTCCAAGGCTCTAACCAGCATGCTGCTTCTCCCCGTCCCCCAGAAGCCATCTCCCTAGCTCTTCTTAGGCTCCTCACATGGAATAGTTATGAGACAAGCCAGGCAGCAATACACACAATCAGAAGTCCTGAAAAGGCAAAGTCCTCTTTGAAAAAAGATTCAACCTAACCAGTGTGGCTCAGCGGTTGAGCGGTGACCCATGAACCAGGAGGAGGTCACGGTTCAATTCCCAGTCAGGGCACATGCCTGGGTTGCAGGCTCAATCCCCAGTAGGGGGCATGCAAGAGGCAGCCAATCAATGATTCTCCCTCATCATTGATGTTTCTATTCCTTTCTCCCTCTCCTTTCCTCTCTCTGAAATCAATTCAAAAAACATCAAAAGCCCTAGCGAGTTTTGCACCATGGGTAGAGCGTCGGCCTGTGGACTAAAGGGTCCCAGGTTCGATTCCAGTCAAGGGCACATGCCTGGTTGCAGGCACGATCCCCAGTAGGGGGAGTGCAAGAGGCAGCCGATCAATGATTTTCT